GGGAATGTTTCAATTGTTTATATCCTTTCAGTAAGAGTCAGTGGGATCTAATCTACCCATTGACTTGCATTGTATGACATTTTTCAAAAATATATCTGAAACGACATAAGAGTGAGTAACTGATGAGCTCACATTCCCCTTCATAAACACTCTACATCATGGGACCCCTATAAGTGAGCGTTAATTTCTGTAGGTGTATAATCCCATAAGCACTTCTACTATTCAACTTGTCATTCCTGAAGTAATTATCACTATATAGGCAACCGTATTCTACGATCTGTCCACTGTGGTCTAATCTTAACACTCCATTCCTCTCGATATAACACTGTACAGTGTCTTGCCATGTCAGTTAAAGCCCACAATTATCAGAGAAGGTTAAACTCTCCTTCATGTGGTAATTTGGGGAACAATTTTCTTTCTCAGAAGAACACCGGTCCTATTCCAACTAAATATTGTCAGTACCCTCCTACATATGTTTTTTTCACAATAACTCCCTTTGTGGCTCTGCTCCCACATGCATACATCAAAACCCCTGAAAATAATCACTTTGGCTATGATGCAATGAATAATAGATTAAATGAATCTATTTGAGTCGTGCTAAACAGTTACTGTAGCTCTTCAGAGTCAAGGCAACTTCAGTAACCAGTTCAGGCACATATCTAAGAAAATAAGAGTCTGTACTGCTGTGTGTGCAATTTCTGCCATACATGTCACATATTTTACAAAGTATTATAAATATGATAATAGATAATGATTCACAGTAATGGGAATATAAAGCCTTTACATGTGTTCTATACATTTCATGAGTAAAAGATGACAAAGGCTGTTTTTTCTTTGCTCTTATCAGATTATCTGATGCTTTAAAAAGTGAGAAATGCTATAATAACATATGAAGTGAACATCCAAACATCTGATCTGGTTTGCAGCATTAAATACAGGAACATATGTTCAGAAATGCATGAGACCACATTGCATTTGTAGTATAGACATCACTCTGTCCTGATGTAATCCCAGACAACAAGGACCACCTATTTCTGTCAATCAGCAATTGCACTAAAACAGAGGTTCTCAGCCCTGTTCCTGGAAATGGTTGTGGGTGTGAACAGTGTTGGGGGTAACACATTACAAGTAACGCGAGTTACGTAATCAGATTACTTCTTTCAAGTAACTAGTAAAGTAACGCATTACTTTTTTAATTTACAAGAAAATATCTTACTTTTTCAAAAAAGTAATGCCAGGTACTTTGTTTTCCCATTTATTGACTGACAAGTCTCCTGTCCCCATATTGGGAGAAATCGGAAGTACAGAGGCGTGGTGTAAACATGATGTTACTGTAGCTCTAGACTAAATGTGAATGTGCATTAATTCATCCCACTCGCAAAAAATATATATTTAGTATTCATCAAAATGAATTAAAACAGTGAAATGCAAACTCAGAATATGACAAACCTGCAATAATTCAATGTTAAATAACACAAATGTATCTAATTCCATTTTATTAACCAATGTCTTTGCTGCTGACATGATCCAGTTCAACCAAACTAATAAGCAAAAATGACTTTAGATAAACTAACAATTGTGCTTCATTGTTTTTTTTATTGCTGAAGAGTGTTTCTTCTCCTGCGTTCTACTGTACAGACGTGAATTTACTTTTCCTTCAGCCTGAGGTTTATTCATTACACTTTTTGGTGTGAAAGGGCTTTTACATTTGCTATAAACAGAACTTCTTATATTAAAAACAATCAAACCCTGCTCATATTTAAAAAGTAAAGCGAAAGTAACGCAAAAGTAATGTAACGCATTACTTTCCATAAAAAGTAACTAAGTACCGTAATTGGTTACTTTTTTTAGGGAGTAACGTAATATTGTAATGCATTACTTTTAAAAGTAACTTTCCCCAACACTGGGTGTGAAATGGAAGGGGCTACAGGAACAGGGTTGAGAGCCACTGCATTAAAACAAGAGTTGGTTAGAGGCTCTTTAAAGGAAACCGACCATCTGAACCCCCTCGAAATCCAATCACAAGTGACTCACAGGAGACTCATCCTAGTGCATGTTAATACCAAGTGTAAACAGTTTTCAGTCTCAGCTGACCACTTATGATCAGATCACTCAAGATGAAAATACCTGGTGTAAAGAAAGCTTAAAATGTCATCATTGTGGAAATAAGCACATTATAAACATATATATTTTTAAAGAATTTTAATATCTTCAATTGCTGTTTAATATATCATCAATGGCATTTTTTTTAAGGAATATTTCACAAAAAAATGAACATTTGCAGAAAATGTACTCACCCTCACACCATGCAGGATGTAGATGAGTTTGTTTCTTCATTGGAACAGATTTGGATAAATTTTGCAGTACATCACTTGCTCACCAATGGATCCTCTGCAGTGAATGGGTGCCATCAGAGTGCTGATAAAAGCATCCACAAGTTATCCTTATCCATACGTCATCCATAAGTCATCTTGTGAAGTGTTAAAAACAAATCCATCAAGGCAATCTACCAATCCATAACCCATAATGCTCTCTGCAGTTAAAAAAAAAGGTCCATCCCCTGTTGTTTTCTCACATCAAAATCCACTGACATATTTGTTTAGAACTGTTGTGGACAGTTTTTGCTTTTAAACGGGTGCTTGATCTGTGCATATTTCTCTCCTAAATCAGATGAGAGGACCTTTTCACTGGAGAAAGCAGTATTATGGATAGAAGAGTCGTATTTTAGCTGGAAGCAAATGTTTTTAAGTTACAAAAGTCTTAATGATGATTTTGCTTATTACAAACACACAGCTTGTTCCTTCAAGATATTAAATGATGGACTGGAGTCATCTGGAATACTGTGATGTTATATCAGCTGTTTGGACTCATTCCGAGGACACACATTCACTGCAGAGGATCCATTGGTGAGCAAGTGATGCAATGCTAAATTTCTCCAAATCTGTTCCAATGAAATACAAACACAACTATATTTTGGATGGTTTGAGGATTGAGTAATTTTTCAGCAAATTTTCATTTTTGGGTGAACTATTCCTTTAACCTAAAGGTCATTGACTAATCAGTTAATTATTTGCCAATTAATGGACAGTGGGGAAAAAAACAGACTCAAATGGGCTTGAAATTATAAACTCACTATGTACTACTGTATTTTTATTAAAGCGGGTTGGTCATTTTCACTCATAACAAACAAAAGCACATCTTTCAGTTGTCACAGTTCTCCTGAACATGTCAATCAAGTAACAAAAACACAGATTTTCTTTTGTTATGTTTCTTAAAGCCCCATTCATTGTTCTCTAGTCCCGGTTTGTTCTTGCAGCAAAAGAGGAAAATGATCAAATTATAATCAAACTGAATTTTGTTACACCTCCAGACACACAAACTGCTCTACTGATCTCAGGTTTTGTTCTGGGAAGGTGTATGTAGAGATTAAAGGATAAGACAACAGCCATGCACAATCGCCCTGATGAGCGAACTCTCTGCAGATGTAATTAGCTCCACATAATTACTTTCACACTTCCCTGTGACAAGAACATACAGACTCAGCCCTTACTTTGTGTGTTAATCTTTCCTTTGATAACCACCCTCTAATAAGACCCTCTCCGGTGTCACCCAATAAAAATGCCCTAAGGAGTCCCCTAAAATGGAAAACATCGCTCCAGCCCCAGTTTCTCTGCTCAGCCTCCTGTAAACAGCCTACTCTGCTTTGAGGCACTGTGACTCACTTAAAAGGGCACATGAGAGAGGTTTGTCACACGCACTCATCTGGGAAAGACTATAGCACATATGAACTTTTCAGGATGATCAGTCTACTGTGCTCGTGTCGAAATATCACAAGCATCTGAAATCTCTTCTCTTTATCAAAAGCTGTTTGCATGCTAAGCATTATACAGTGGTGTACGTCGCTTGTAGGGTTGAACACAAACATGGAAAGGTTGTCTGTGTCAATCTCAGACATCAAAGGGCAACATTTGTGACTGACAGCCAGCTGAGCTAGGGATGAGGATGTTTTCTCTGTTTGGCTCATCTAAAAATGTTCATATTAGCAATGTAAAGCATGCATTTCATATTTTATCTCATGACAAAACATATGCTGTCAAATCTGTAAATACACTGTGAAAAAATCATGTTAAATGTAACAACTGTGGTGCCATAAATTTGCAGAAAAAGGTTGTGATGGTGCTTCAGGCAACGTTTCAACAGAAAAAAAAACTAAGCAGGCTAAAATAATAAGGCGGCAATAAACAACATAAAATGCATATCCTTACATTACTCATAACGAAGCAGCATAACTATTTGAATAAAATAATCAAATGCACTGCACAGGGACTTCTAAAGACTAATATATTTCATTTTAAAAGTAAATGTATTGACTTGCAAAATATAATATTGTTTTGCACCATACATATGATACTTCATGCAACAAAAAAAACTACAGCAAAATGTCATGCACTGTGCTGTTAAACCTAATATATTTGAACTGTATATGGTAAGGTAAATTACAGTTAACCAGTTATTTTTTACTGCAAATTTACTTTTTTTCATTATAATTTAAAGTGTATTTATTTCACGAAGGACGCATACTCTATTTTTGTAAACGGGCACGTGGTCATGACAGGAGTGAAATTAAACAAACCACTGTGGCAAAAGAAGCATTTGTACATGTGAAAACACACCGCTGGCTTGTGTCAAATTCAACCTCAGGTATTCTAGGACATTTTGCCAGCTTTGCAGTTCCACCTGACATCCTGACGTTATTATTGACAGCAATCCAGCTGGATTTAAGACTGTATAAGTGAAGGCACGTTTACAGCAACAAAATGTCTGAGGTTCTCCTACTTTGCTAAGCCTAGACTGTTTCACTAGCATAAATCATCATGTGCAGAGTCGTACAGAAATTTAGCAAAGCAACAAGCGTGATGGAAACAGGTCGTGCGCACTGCAGAGGTTTGGTTTTGGGAAGAGTAACAGACCTCTGAGAGATACATTAATACAGAACTTACAGGCGTATGTCATGGCAAAGCTGCTCCCTGTGTCCACCATGTCCACTTGTGGTACCAGTTTAGGAACATCATTGTGTTGAGAGAGCGCGAAACGGAACACGTCGTATTCATGGGAGTCGGTTGGAAACAAACCTCCTGTCGAGATTACAATAAAGTCATTCAGGAACAATAACACGTACATGGAATATTTAAACCCAAATGGCTAACTGTACCTCATCTTGTGCGACGGAAACTTTAAATGACTGTCAGGACACGGTTTTGAGCAATAGACGCCGAGTACTCACCTATGTTGATGTTACTTGGGAAATTTGAACATGAACACAACCCAAGCAACCCGGTTAAGGGTAAGACGAAGCTTTGCCACATATTTCCGTTTGCATTTGAGAAACTGACAAGAAGCCAAATGCCAAACATATATATCCCAAAGTCTTTGTCTCTTCACTCACACTGAGCCCATAGCGGTAACACAGAGCCAGCAGAGCGCAGTGAAATCCCAGTCAGTCCTGTTGGTAATACCGGTGGGTGACTGAATAAGCGTGTCTCTGACAGCCCTGCTTACAATGAACACACTCTCTGTAGTGTCAGCAAGAGAAAGAAAACACGGATCTTTATCGCTTTCTTAACACCATCACCGCGCGCTCCCGGTAGGTCGTTACTCTACTCAGAGTAGAAGAGCAAATGACTGGGTAAACTTGACGCCGTGTGCAGACTGTACCATTTTATAGCAGCTTGATTTCTCCAATTGTTACGCTATCTAGCTCTATAAAATGTACCTACATAACATATCTGTATTAGGAGCATTAAATGGAAGCCTTAAGTGTGATAAACAGTTAAACGCTTATGAGCAACAGAATATGAAGTGGGACGGTTAATTGGTGCAAACGATGTTATCCAACAAGAAAACAAACACAGCGATTTAAACACCGCATCTTTTCTGTATATGGGTCAATGACAAATATAAATATCTGAGACAAAAGGTTTAAAAACATGTACAAGTTCTTAGAAAAATATTTCATGTTGGTATACATTTTTAAAAAGTTAATATTTTCATTACAAAAAAAATGTTGATTTGACTATCATGTCAATGTCAAGTAGTAGCCATCAAAATAAAAAGTACTAAAATATTTTAATTACACATGATTTTACACAACATAATCCGTTTTTGTCAACATTTTTATATTTCAACATAGTTCTGTAATTCTTTGTTACAGAAATTTATTAAATTAAACTAAAATGGAATTAGCCTAATATTATGCATCTTATGGTCAAATGATGATACATTTTTTTTAATCTAGTTTAACTAATTGACATGTACATTCTAAAGTATACAAACATGCAATTTGTTCTTTTAACTGAGTTTAGTGGACATTTAAAACACACATCATCAGTTAGGTCATCACGGTTTATCAGAATGATGTCAAAGCCACTTAAGTCAAATACCCAAATTCTACCCAGTATAGCTATGTAAAAGAAGACAATTGTTTTAAGGTTAATACTCACTCTAAGCCTTGAATAATAACCCTGACCCAACATTTCTTTTCATGAAACTTATTTTCTTTTAGAATGAAATCACTAGCGGAGTCCATAAAACACTCATGAAATGAAAAGATGATATGAAACCTGCAAATCTAAGGTTTGTATCAATAATTGCATTGCATACAATATAGCAGAGCATTGCACAGATTGCACCTAAACTATTCCTTGAATTAATAAATGATAAATGCACATTGTATTCAAATCTATATTTCATGTACTGTAATGTATTGCAAACTAAAACTGTCAGCACTTTCTGAATTAAGGCTTTTCACACTGTATAGTGAAATGCATGAGTAAAAACGATCACATACAATACATTCCATGATCTTATCTAGGCTAAATACATTTTATTTTGGTTGTGATGATCAATGATTGTGCACCTCTACTACACTTTTTATATTTTCTATTCTTATTCAGTTATCCAAGTGTGCTCTTAAAACTACAGCGGTTCAATATAATCATAACATTGGGCTGAAGATGAGTGCTGTCCACTGAGATTAGAGTGCATTAACAGTGACATAGCCATATATAATTAAGATGGCACAAATGGCTTCATCAACTTCAGGATGTAATGACATTAACATCCATGACACGGACCAATTACAGTGTGGTGGAGCTCCAGTCCCCCTTGGCGTACCAACAGAAGGAGGAACTCTACTACTATTCCCATGGTGTATTGTGTTGCACTGGCAAGTGCCAAGAAAATGATTTATGGGAATCAGGAACATGAGTTACTGCAAGATAGCTGAAACAAAAAACAAAAAAAGATTTATTGATCCATAAATAAAACATTAATATTGTAAATAAAAATAAGCGAGGTTTGCTTGAGTGCATGTTATGCAGTTTCTAAACTGGGTGGCTTCAGAATTTAATTAGCTTTGTTTGAGGAAAGTGTCCACTACAACAAAAAAGGGATAATCATCTTTTCATCAAACATTCTTCATATTTACATTCATATTTTACAGTACACATATTGTCTCACATTATCAATCAACAAGTTTTACAGTAGCATTTTTAGTATTTTTTCTGTAGATATTTTTACAGAAGGGATTGTATTTTCTTAATTCTTGATTTAAGATTAGAAAAATCTTCTTTCCTAAGCATACAGGTTAAGATTCTGAGTTAGGATGTTTCTGTTATACAGCCCCAGAAATATAGGTCTGATGCTATATGTATGTATGAGGAAGTATAAATACTGCTGGAGGCTGTGAATATAAGAGCTGGCGTGAACATGATTTTTTTTTCTCAGGTGCTGTAAGTCTACTTCAACATGTAGTTTGGCAGAACCAGGCAACACTACATGACCACATAAATCTGGCCCTGGTGGATCTACATGCCATGGAATCAAAACGGTGCACATACATCCTGGTTACAAGAGGATCCATCCTCTGGTTATTCTTGTAAGCGCCGGCACCGGTTTTACTGCTGCTCTTTGATTTTCCCCTCAGAGAAAATCTGAGGATACTTCAGATCTTAGAAAATCAGCTAAGAATATGTACAGTCAGAGAGCTTAAATCCACCACGCTTTGTGATTCTGCTAATCTTCATTCAAATACCTGTGAACCAGAGTTAGAAGAGAGAAATGCGCGATCAGCTTTTTCCTGACAGCATCCCAATCTCCTGGCTGCCTAGCTTTATTTGGTTTATCCATCTTTAGGCAGTCAAACGTCTTCTGAAAAGTCATCTGAATCAAACTGACCTGACAAAGTAATCAAATCAATTGATTCTAAGGAACGTAATGCTAATGAATAAAACAGTGCCAGAGCCATATTAGATTATACATGAGCATAAACAGCAAGAGGTATCCCACATTCACAGCACTATGTATAGCATCTTGTCCCAAAGTTCACAGCAATTCTTTGACATAAAGGTACAAGTGAATTAAATATTTAGTGAGTGAATAATGCAGCACAACCACAGGTTAGTTGACAGTTACTATTACAGAAGCCTAGATTGTGCACTTGTGTTCTTAAAGGGGAGTGCTCTCAAAGAAAGACCCATTTGAGCCCAGGTAGAGCACTCAGTTCAGGCTGTTTTTCCCCCATTAGTTGTTAAAGGTGATGAGGCATAGCTAATTCAGCAGCACTGGAAGTTACATTTGTGTCTGAAATATACCTTAAAAGCTTTTCACCTTAGAAAGTCAGACAGGGAAGCTAGAGGTCTTTCAACAGGAAGCACTGAAGCCATTATCATCATTATAGAACAAAGCTCTGTGGATAGACGGTGGGGTGGGGGGGCGACGTCATTCCTTTCATATTAATTTGCCCAGTGTCTTAACCGTCATGCCCTGTTTTCATAAAAGTCAAGGGAAGAGCCATGTGTTTGACCCAAAAAGATCAGAGCAAGTTCTTTTTTGAATTAGGACTATGAGAAACATATTTTGATTTTGTGTTTTGTTCTCTGCACTCAAAAATAATTATTTTGCTGAAGTTAATTCAGTTGGCTGAGCACTGGAAATGGGTTTTCTTAACATTAAATTAAACTAGATTAGTTAAACATGTCAAAGCAACCCAACTGTATTTCTTGCAGTTAGCGCACACTAAAGGTTACTTTAATTTAGCATAAGTGAAATAAATAAATTAATAAGTTAACATAAGTACAGTATATGATAATGGAAAGAAGCAAATGCAAGACTGGTCAGACTCAGATACCTGTAGTGTTGCTCGAGTAAAACAACAACAAGCTAACTTTTTTCCATTCTCAAGCTTAGCTGAAGCTTCACTCCACACATTAATAATGTCACATGTTCCCCATTTTGTGTCTCGTGTTAAGACTTTTATTTTGAAGCTCTGGTATTTAAATTTTTCCTGTTCTAGTCATGTAGTCCATTGTAGTTTCTTTGTTGATTAGCTCATTGATTGTTCTCACCTGTATTTTGTTACACTGATTGGTCTGTGTGTATTTAAGCCACTGCAATTTGCAGTTATTTTACATTTTGGAAAAATTTATATGAATTCGTACATTCTCATTGGTACATTTTTGTACAATCTGCTTGCATCTTATTGACGGTTAGGTTAAAAGATTATATTAACAATAGGCGATGCTGTCTACGTGAATGTCTATGCGCGATGTAAACAGCATTCGAAAGAAGTTTATTATGAATAATACATAAGGTACATCAAATAAAATAGGCCTACAAGACACGTTTATCCATCCCACAATCTTGTAAGCCTATTAACTGAACGTGTTTTTTCCGTATTATTATTATTATTATTAGCCTGTTATTTATTATATTTCTATTTTCGTTTATTCGTTTTTTTTCCTCTTCAATTCGATCACTTTACTCAACGTTCTATGATACTGTAAATGCTCGACATATGCTATATGACTGGGATTTTTACTGGAATGCAATTTAAAGGTTGAGTTTAACATTTTATCTTATTTCGTCTAATTAATAGACTAGCCTATATAAATATAGTGGTTTATTGAGTGAATCATTCATGTAGGGGGGCGGGTTTTTTGTGGGGTTGGGGGGGGGGGGGGGGGGTTGTAATGACTCTCAGCTTTATAGGTCCACAAACATACTGTGAAGTGCAGGAGCACAAGCACAACACATCAGGGGCCGACAGACTCGTGTGCTGCATGTGGAGGAATATGAGGACAGAAGCAGTTTGACTTGGTTTTGAGAGGCGCCCTCTGCGAACCTGCGTTATTTTGTTTAATTTGAAGGTTGGAATGGATCAACATTTGTTAGCGTGGTAGGGATAGAAACATATCAGCAACGGAAGAAAAAAGCAAAGCTGTGATGACTTTCACCCCCACTGTGTCCCTGAAGAACACGGCAGCCTGAAACAAATATTACAAAGCGATGCTACAAAACTGCCGGTTGGAGCTGAAAAGCCCAAATGCTCATCGCATTTCACTGGAGCCCAATTAATACTGCATTGGGAGAGTCAGCGGTTTCCTCAGCGTTAAGATCGCAGCTCGGTTAATTCAATGAATGATGGATCATATTAAAAAATGATTAGCCAAAACTGCTTCTGCTTTGGACTTTCACTAATTGCTATGTGTTCACACTAACTCACCCACTGCTTATTAATGCAAGTTTAAATGAAGAACATATTGGCATGACATGACCAGGTGCGGTTTGCTGGCAGGAACAAGAGCTGAGCAGACAACATTCGGGTGAATATCACAAC